TTAATGCAGTTCACATAAATGCACAAAGTATTCCTGCACACTTTACCGAAATGCTTGCTACATTTAATATAAATAATCTCCATGCTATCTTCGTTTCCGAGTCATGGCTGAAGCCATGTCTTCCTTCTGTCTCCTACACATTACCTGGTTTCCACTTAATACGTTGTGATCGCACTGGTAGGGGTGGTGGTGGTGTGGCCATATACCTTCGTTCCGATATTCCCTTTATTTTAATTAATTCCTCTCTCAGCACAAATCCTTGTAATGAATCTGAACATCTTTTTATCGAACTAACGCTTTCTCATTCTAAAATCCTTCTAGGTGTTTTTTATAGCCCGCCTACCGTTGATTATTTCCCCTCTTTTGAAAAACTCCTCGAAGACCTTATACCTACCTATAAGCATACTATCATTATGGGTGATTTCAACACTTGCCTTTTAAAAAATGACTCCCGTGCGAATCGCCTTAAATGTCTAGTCAATGCTTGTAACCTAAATATCCTACCCCTCCAAGCCACCCACTTCTTTCCTAGCTGCATTCCTTCCTTGCTTGACTTAATCCTAGTCTCATCACCTGATCACGTTGCTAAATTTGGTCAACTCCCTGCAGATGCTTTCTCTTTCCACAATCTCATTTTCCTTTCCTATAAAATTCGCCCTCCTAAATTTAAACGTAAGATCCTTATGCTGCGCAATTTTGGTGCCATTGACATAGATTGCTTGCGTAGGGACGCGTCGGAATGTGACTGGTCTGGTATAGGTACTCTATCTAATATCAATGATCAAGTTGAACATTTCAATAAACTGGTTTTAAACCTTTACGACAGACATGCTCCTATTCGCCCTGTCAGGGTTAAGCATTTGCCTGCTCCCTGGCTTACGGATGAGATCAAGACCTTCATAACTAAAAAAAACAACGCTAAGTCTAAGTTTAAGTCGGATCCTGACAAATATCGGGATGCTTATATTAGGGCCAGGAATCTCTGCAATAGGGTGTGTAGAGAGGCTCAACGACACCACATTCAAAAATCTGTCGAAAATGGTGATCCAGCCAAAGTCTGGAAATTTCTTAAATCACTGGGGGTTGGAAAACAATGTAATGATAATTCAGTGCATAATATTAATATTGAATGTCTCAATCAACATTTTTGTTGCTCTCCTACTATAGATATATTTGAAAAATCTACTACTTTACGTAACCTTTCTACAATTTCCAACTCTAATTATACTCCTTTTATCTTCGATCAATTGACCGATTGTGATGTTGAGAAGAGCTTGCTCTCAATTTCTTCGAATGCCGTAGGTACCGATAGCGTTAGTCGTAATATGATCTTGCCTATCCTTGATATCCTTTTACCCACCATTACCTTAATCTTTAATACGTCTCTTTCGTCAGGTATGTTTCCTTCAGTTTGGAAAGATGCGTTTATTGTTCCTCTTCCTAAATAGAAAATTCCTAGCTCATTCGCAGACTACCGTCCTATTTCTATACTCCCTTTCCTATCCAAAGCTCTAGAACGATTAGTTCAACAAAAGCTTAATTCGTTTCTATCTAAAAATAATCTTCTGAATTCTTTACAATCCGGTTTCCGATCTGGTCATAGTACGACTACCGCTCTCGTGAAAATCACTGACGACATTCGTTTCGGTATGGAGAACTCTAAACTTACTGCTCTCACTTTACTTGACTTCAGTAATGCTTTTAATACTGTAGATTTCGATGTTCTATTAGGTCTATTATCCTCTCTCAACATATCTCCAATGGCAATTGACTGGTTTCGTAGTTACCTGTTGGGGCGTCGGCAGCGTATTCGCATCGATGACGTTCTGTCTGCATGGTGTGACACGTCTGCTGGCGTCCCTCAGGGTGGTGTCTTATCTCCTCTTTTATTCGCCGTATTTATTAGCTCAATCACTTCCAAACTTCAATCTTCCTACCACCTTTATGCAGATGATCTCCAAATTTACTCTCAAGCAACCCTGGGTGATATTAGTCAAGCCATTACTAATATTAACGAAGATCTTGCTCGCATATCTGTTTGGAGCAAATCTTACGGTCTCGTAGTGAACCCCAAGAAGACACAAGTTATTCTTATTGGTAGCCCGAGGTATATTTCTAAAATCACTTGGAATGACCTACCGCCTGTGGTTCTCGATGGGGTTCTAATAGAATACAGTAAATCCGTTAAAAATCTTGGAATTATCTTTGATAATACTTTGTCTTGGTCTCATCAAATTTCCGAGGTTAGTAGGAAAATGTTTGCAGCAACAGGTGCCTTGAACAGATTGCGTAATTTCCTTCCCCTTGACACCAAAATTGCACTTGCTCACTCCTTGCTCCTTCCTATCCTTGATTACGCTGACTCCTGTTACTTGGATCTCACTGAGGAGCAATTAAACAAACTTGAGCGTCTTCAAAACTTATGTATTCGCTTCATATTTGGTCTTCGGAAATATGATCACATTTCACAGTTTCGTATTCAACTCAAGTGGCTCCCAATCCGTTTTCGTCGCAATCTACATATCCTATCTCTCCTTTATAACATTCTTTTTAACCCCGCCACTCCTGATTACCTTAAAAATTGCTTCCTATTTCTCAGTGAGAGTAGTTGTCATTCCTTGCGCAGCGTAAACAATCTCCGTCTTAGATTTCCCAATCACTCCACTTCCTTCTATTCAAAATCATTTTCTGTCCAGGCTGTTAGGTTGTGGAACTCGCTTCCCGCTCCTATTCGGCGCGCTCAATCTCTTGCTAGCTTTAAAGCATCAGTAAAAACTCATTTCCTTTCCCTTTAGTTCTACTTTTCCCTTTTCTTATAGTCCCTTTCTTTCCTTCAAACTTTTCATGGATATGTGTATTATTAAGTTTATGTATGTTTATGTATGTTTATGTAGGTATGTACATATGTATGTCTATTTAATATATATTTATGTATATTTGCATGTATTATTCATACCCATCTTAGTTGTATTGTCATTTGTACCACCTACTCTTTTTCTTATATTTTCACTGTCTACCTAAAGGTTGCCTGTAAGAGATTGCTTAGCGATAAGGCCGCCTTTTGTACTCGTCATTGTTATACATATTTTTATAGTAATTAATATTTTCTGTAACTGGTGCAAAAAAGTGTAAAAATAAAAATAAAAAAAATAAATCACTGTGCCGTAGTATCATAAAATAATAAGGAGCAATGTCAATTGATAATAGATAACCTCTATGATCTAATAACATTGTATTGTAACGATTATAAAATTTTATCAAAATATATCACTAAAGTATAGGTATACCTATAGGTATGTCACTTTTATTTATAAAAAATAAGTGCCAATTTGTAATGTAATAGAGATATTATGTAAAGAAACTAATGAAACTTCACAATGTCATGACCTATTTGATTTATTACCCGGATTTTTACACATCATGCCGTAAAATCAAATTTTGTTATGAAACGTAATGGCAATATTGCTAACAACTTGAAGATAGGTGGCAACGGTTGCCTATTTACATGAATATCACGTCATCGTGTGACTTCTACAGTACCTCATACGTTGTTATTCCGAAGGACTTGGGTGACATAGCTACCTCCGCATTTCCTGTAATTTTCCTGCCATATCTCACTCTTTAACCGAAACGCAGCTTATACTTTATACATGCCCTGGATTTCGGTTAAAAGGCGAGAATATACGTCCCCTACCCTAATCAAGTAGGTAAAAGTGTATCGCATAATTTCGATAAATAATTTAACCACGATGAAATATATAATTATATACTGTCCTATAAGCAATAAAAACAAGTACAATAGGCGTCAAGCAATTTACTACACAGTTATAAGTTCGTTTGAAACAATAAGCCACAAGAAAATTACAATGGTTAAAGATACCAGAAATCCTTGAGAAACAATGATTTGTTTCACATTACTACGTATTCTCAGTTTTTATCACAGTTTTGTATCTAATGTGCTTATTATTAGTTATTGTTACCTGATTAACCAAGTTTATTACCGTAAATAAATTTGTTGAACTCGATGTAAACAATTACAAAATAATAAACATAAAGAAGCCTGGAACACTTTTTAACTCTTTTCCATTATCAACTAATATTCTAGAGATGTCTCTAATCTGATTAGTTGATCTCTAGATCTATGAAATGACGACTAGTGCTTAGATCCTTCCAAATGAAAGAGAGTAATTAATGATCATTATGTTTGTTATTACCTAATTCGATAGATATTCTTTGCGGAGGATATTATCTCATTTTTGCGGTTATCAATGTGGTCTTTTATTATCGCCGATAAACACGTGAGTACATATTGAAGGAAATAAATATCAATACCCCTTGATCTATGTATTGGGATGGTCAGTGTTATACACCCACAGTTACCTAAACATATAGTCAGAATCTGTATATCAATAAATTAATATAAAGGAATCATGTGCAAATGAGTCTTTAAAAAAATTCATAATAATGTGTTTTATTAATTAATTAATAATAAAGTGCTAATAGAAATTCTTATATAATGAATTACTTATGTTTATGGCCGGATATCACAATCGTATTTTATTCAAGTTACAGGTGTTTTCCGTAAACAAAAACAGGTTATTCATACAGGAATATGTAGTTTATATACCTAGTTCTGCTGCTAAGCAACGGATTGGTTTGCTGTGTTGAGTTTAGTGAGATTTGGCAGTGAATTTGCATGGTACAGTAGCATTAGTTCTTAGAAATACTAATGAATAAGATTACTATTAAAGTCACAATAATTAATTCATCATGAATTCACCATGGTTCACAGAGGTACCTAATTTAAATTTAAATTACTGTATTATCAGGAGTGGTGCACTATTAGTTATAATATAATAACTAATAATCCTCTCTACCCTGTTATCATCTTAAATCAGATGGACCGTAAATTTATTGTCCATTCCATTCCATTGAAACATATTTTCATTATTAGTATGATAATAGACAATCATTAATATAATTATACAATGCATTTCCAGGTTATCAATTGCCCTAGAGATGGTCAACAATCCACCAGTATTTTTCCTGGACGAGCCAACTAGCGGTCTGGACACAGTAACCACAGTGCAGTGTGTCAAATTGCTAAAACAATTGGCGCGGCAAGGAAGAACTGTTGTGTGTACAATACATCAGCCAGCGGCGTCGTTACTAGAACTGTTCGATCAGGTGAAGTATTTTTTTTATTTGAATACATTTTAAAACACAAGTTCAACTTGTTGACTACCACAACCAAAGTATTTTTAGAAGTTTGTACGTTCGTTCTTGTTGTAGTAGTTATATTTGTCATAGTAGTTATATTAAATGTTAATTATACTCCTGTTAGATATCTCTAACAGAAGTATAGATAGATAGTGTGTAAATATTAAATATTTTTATCTATAGTTCAAACGAACTGAATACCAAGTCGATGCTATCCAAATAAAATGAAGTTCAAATAAAAAGTTGAGGCATCATATGTTAGTTCTCTGGAAAGGCAACGCATGAGTGATATCATAGGCGTTATGATAACATGATATCCGTGGTACTGTTCATGTATATAAGTGATAGTTACCACTTACCATTAGGTGGGCCATCAGCTTGTTTGTCATTCCCATCACATAAAAAAAGTCAGAATTAACTGTATATTTGTTCTTATCATTTCGTAATAGTGGAGACCGTGTAGGTATAAAAGCCTCATAAATTGTATTGAATTTTTACATACCAATGTAAGGTGTTAATTTGCTAAATTTAATTTAAGATTAATTATCGCCTTTATTTATGTTAATATTTGGGGTCGGGGCAGTAGGTAATTGAATCCGAATATAAAAGATGAGGTCAGAAAACAGACAACACTTACTTACCTTTGCTTCGTGACGATCGGGGTTAGTAGGATGAGTAATTATTATTGTTAGTCGATAATATTATTTGTCTATTCAAGTTAATTGGGCACAATATGTAGGTAAGAATAGGAATAAAATACCATTATGGATCAATTTGGTAGGGTTCGGGATTTGAAATAAATAATAACGATGGACGATTCATATATCGCCATCTAGTCCTAAGCTAAACAAAGCATGTATTAACACAGAAACACTCAGACCAATACAAATAATCATATTTGAAAATATAATGTTTGCACCGTGCGAGGAATCGAACTAGCAACCGTCGGACAGCTAGACCACAAAGACCGTCAACATACAGAATATTATTAAACATAAATAATAGTTTTTAATAGATAACTTTTTGCAAAGTCGCGGTTGACTTTGTAAAAAGTTTGTTTGTGCGTGTGTGTTTCGGTGGGTATAGCTTATTACAGCCGCCAAATAGTTTGGTTTGTGAGAAGAGAGAAGGTCTTAGTCTTCCAGTATCACGGGATCACGTGCGTCACATGATAACGGGGTGTCGATTGTGATGTGTGAAGGTTACTTGTACTTTTCCGGAATTGGTTTAAATCTACATGCGTACCGAATATGTAATTCTCTTAATAATTTAAATTACTATATTTTCTAGGTATACGTGATAGCGGATGGACGATGTATATATCAGGGCGACACTGCAGCTATGGTACCATACTTACAAAGCGTGGGAATGCCTTGTCCAAGACACCACAACCCAGCTGATTACAGTACGTATATTCTACATATGTTTTTGTGGCTTTGTCGATTTCAATTACGGTAAATTTTAGTCACTATTGATTTATACTAGTCTTGACTTAATAGATCGTACACTAGATTTATCTATATCCGAAATAGTCATCATTAAAAAAGATATAAATTTTCGTATTTACAATAAATGATCACCTCGACTTTGTTTGCGTGTGCTTTTTAATTAACAATGGCAGATGGGTGTAAACATAAAAAAATACTAATATACCCCAAGAGAGTGAATTAGTTATTACATATGTTGACTCCACATTTAAAAAGATATTCTATAAAAAAATCAGCCCAGCCAGATTTTACAATTTGACTGTATTTAAAGATAATAAAGTTAATATACAATATAAAAAAATACCGTTGAAACATTTTGATACACTGAGGTGCACGCACTAACATTCTTACAGAATAGCTTTATTTCAGACAGAAACGCAAAGATAAAATTGTTTCAAGATCAGACTGCCACTAAATAAGTATAAACCAAATGAAAGTACATACCTACTGTATGTTTAGTGCTTAGTATACAAAACTTAGATTACACGCTGCCTTGACGTTTCTTAGACGTCTAAATGTCATTAAAACAATTAATTTGCTTCAAATTATAACTTTGTAATAGTCGTTTTACATGAATTTTCTATTGTATTATAATCAACTCGTACATTGTCGGTATATCTACCTATTCGTGACTATATGCATGGCAAACAATGTTGTTAAAATAGCGAGAAAAGCATGTGCTGTCAGGATTTAATAAAAAAGTACAGAGGATTGTAACGTGTCAGAAAAATGTAGATTTGGAATATTAAAAATATATTATTTTGTTAATTAATAGCTAAATTGACACTATGAAATATTTGTAATAAAATACTTAATTACGTCTAATTCTTTTCATAGATGTCCTGTTACTTCTTGATTTTTATTTGATCTGTGTTCGACGCTATTATTGTAGCTATTATTTAATTTTATATTGGGTCGCGAGTTATTTAGCATTTCAATGTACGACATAATTAGTAAGAATACTAATAAGATACTGTAATTATATAATACATGATTACTTCAGTAATTATTGAATATATATAAAATAAATAAGTAGGTACTTATTTAGTTATATAATTTATGGTATGGGTTCCAGGGAGTCATTGCGAGAGTGTTTTAAGTAATCAAATATCCTCACCGTTGCTTCTCAATACATTTATGAAAATATCATCTATGCCAGAAGGAATATAGACAGTTTCAAAAGAGTTAGTGATTGCACTAATAAAAGCTTACGTAACAATAACAAACTGATTTTACCTAAATGTCGTTTAGCTAAAGTTAGTAATTCGTTTTATGGCAATTGCGTAAGGTTTTACAATAAAATACCAAAGTCTGTTATAAATCTGCCAGAAAAAAGATTTAAATGTTAAATAAAACAGTTCCTTTGCAAAAAAGCTTACTATAAAATTGAAGAATTCGTTAACGATAATAATGCTTTTATAGAAAAACTTTGAATCCATAGCACTGACAATATTATCTGATTACATTAATAATGAGTGCGTAGCGACTTCTATGTTGATTATCGCATGCCTCTTACTTGTTATACTGAAATTATTTATATAAAAAAAACATATATTAAAAAGAGCAACACACAAGTTTCTTGCTCATTCTTCTTGTGATGAATCTGCATTCCGAATGAGTGGTAGAATCAAAATATGACTATTCAAAAGTGCTTGTAATGAGTTTATTTGAATAAAGATTATTTCTATTTGAATCATAATATTTACCTAGATAATTAAAAATAGTAATATCTAATACTTATCACAATGTCATAGACCACACGTGTTGCAAAAGTATGCGGACTCAATCTAAGGGGAAAAACAATATAAATGTAATTAAATATCTATTGAAATATAATAATATTAATCTTAAGTACCATTATAATTATTAAAGAGATATCGGAATGTAATAGGTGTATATAGATTAGAGATGTAACTTTCTAAATAGAATAGTATCGATTTTGATAGGTTAGCCTACAGTTATTTCTTTTTGTGAACGAATTATAAAGATGAGAGAGAGAGAGAGAAGTACTAAATTGGCACCATGGAAAAATGTTCTGATTTAATAAAGACTTACAATTTCGCGATGGATTTAGATATCAAAGTCGTGCCCAAACACAGAACTCACTGTTTTCTTCTGACTGTTTTTCCCTTATATCTTCTAAATCATATGTTGTATGAAATATCTGTTGGATATTGTGTCGTATGGGATATGCTCCAAGCTCGTTTGCTTTACTACTTTAAAAAATATTCAATTAAAATGTTACCTCTCTATTTCTAGTTATAGAACTAACAGAAAACCCAGAGTGCATAGATATGTTATCCCAAGAAATGATGAACGGAAAATTATACAAGTCTGCTAAACTAGAAGTGTCACCAAATGAGCCACCCAGCACGATAGAATTGAAAGTATGCTATCAATCAGAAGATGAATTGGCCGAGACAGAGATAATGCTGACAAATGAGAAATGCACATACAAAGTACCAGGTTATGAAGGCAATGGGTCTGTCAGTTCATCATCAAGTCAAATCTCGCAAATGAACTCATCGATGGCTTGGATGAAGGTACAAGAAACAAACAGCTCTGGAGGCTACGCAACTACGTACTGTGAACAGTTTTCAATACTACTTTGTAGGATGATGATACAAATCTTTAGAAATAAGCAAGGTGAGTAATATCACTACTTTTTTTGCAATTTATATTCCCAGATAATTATATGTAGGTATATAAAGCTAAAACTATCTTACTAGTTAACAAACAACTAATAGCAAATTCTTAATATCAAGATCTGAGCAAATTTGGAAAAGTTTTTTGTTTAAATGTTTGTAAACTGTAAGGAAAAACATTTCAAAGACTACTAAAAATACAAGTAAATAATTAAAAATCTTATTCAATATAGCATTGTGTATGACAAATGAAACTTGTACTTTTAAGGAACATTTTATGGATATCTTCACCAATGGAATGACCACTACATTGTTTCATAGAGAGCTTCTTCAAAGCTAATTTTTACCTTTGGAACTGAGGTGGTTCTAATTATGCTCTTAATCCTTCCGACTAGAATATATTTTATGCTGCTGAAATAGGGAATTCTTTTCTTTTCTTCTTTTCTTTTCTACAGAGAAATGTATGGCTTATTACACTGAATTTTTTTTACTTCCAGGTTTATGGATCCAATTGATACATCACGTAATGTGCGGGGTGCTCATAGGAATATGCTTCTTTAACATGGCAAACGACGGCACACAGATGTTCAATCACTTAAAACTGTGTGTAGGACTCGTTATATTCTTCGCATATACACAAATCATGGTTCCAGTGCTTGTCTGTAAGTAATCAGTATGTTAATAAGAAAGTTTGTAATATATTTTCAACTGAGTTTGATCATGGATTCGAAATTGGATTGAGATATTAGCTGAGGACAGTATTGTTACTATTACAACTTCGAATCTATAATTAGGTACTTACGAGAATATTTATTTTATGTTCACAATTTTATTGAATGTGGAGCCAATTTTAATCATTCTTTATTTAATTGAAAGTTTGTTTGAATTTTGTTATAACTTGTATTTTTAGTAGAGGAAACTAATTGTAATCCAATATAATAGGACATGAGATATCTACTTACTGTAGGAAAGTCGTGAGTGGATGCGAAACCCTAAATTTGTGAGTTCGCCAGAATTTTGTCAAGTTTACTACTAGTAGAACTTACTAGTCCAATGTAGTTTTTTCGTATTCGTTCTATAAATTAGAGATTATAATTAGGATTATAGATACTGTCCGATTTGTTAAAAGTCTTATCCCATTACGACAAATTTTGCGTTGTAGTCACGCGAGTGCACAAAGGATTGTACGAATTCTTAGCGAGATCTTATCGGTCAGCACTGACCCCATAAAAAAATAACTGAATAATATTTGGAATTATGTTTCCTTTTACAGATCCACAGGAAGTAAAACTCGTGAAGAAGGAACATTTCAACCGCTGGTACAGCCTTACGCCGTACTACGCTGCTTTGACAATCTCTAAATTGCCTGTTCAAGTGTCATTAAATGTGATCTTCTGTACCATTGTATACTTCATGACTGGAGTGCCTTTCACTATTTCGAGGTTCATAGCTTTCTGCCTCGTCGGTAATGTAGTGTCATTGGTTGCTGAAGGCATGGGATTAGCTGTCGGTTCTGTTTTTAATGTTCGAGTGAGTATAAAGCAAAGAATAATAATTATTTTTGTCTTATTACTTTGTGTCACTAAAGAGTTTATTTTTCAAAGTATTTTCCGATGTGTAGGTGTAGAGTGAAGTTACGGGATACAAAACTGCTCATGTATATAGGCCACTTCTATTATATCTATCTTTCATTAGTAGAACCTTCCGGTTGTTTTTACAGTAAAATTTCGTAATAATGAAAAATAAAATAACGTTTTTAAAACGCAATAAAATAAAGTTACTTTTGATGTTGAACATTTTTTCTAATATGTATATAATTTTTTATTATAGAATGGCTGCGCTATCGGTCCATCATCCATCGCACCGTTCCTCGGTCTTGCCATTTATGGGTTCGATTTCGCCCACCGCATCCCGCTCATGATGAATATCTTAATGAAGACATCTTTTATCCGTTGCGGTGTAGTCGCCATGGTGCTTACCATATTCGGCTTCAACAGAGAACCATTAGATTGCAAAGACGTGTACTGCCACTTCGCAAAGCCAGATGTTCTAATAGAGTACCTCGACTTAGAAAGAACGTCAGTCTGGCTTGAAATAATAACAATGTTAGGTATCATGTTTGTCTTTAGGTCGCTGTGTTTTATCGGTCTTCGATGGAGGTTCGCGACATGATGATGCAAGCTTATTTTATCCGATAGTTGAAATATAGGACGTAACTGCAGCTCATTGACACATCGAAGAAACTAATCCTTGTGGAGAATACTACGTGGCTGGTTTGTGTTCTAAATGTAATTCTAAGCAAAATTCATTGCCAAAACTTGTAGTCTGGTGTAACTTAACTAATTTGCGTTAATTTGAATAAATCATATAGGTACAATACATATTATAATGACAAACTTAGGATACATTACTGTAGTGTACAGTTATACTAATAGATATAGATGAGAGTTTGTAAAGAATGTATGAAATTTGTTAAAAACATCCTAGAATTACATATGGAAGATCTTAAGGCGGTAAAGTCGTGATTATAGTTAGTCAATGTATAATATACTGGCAAAATCTAGGATTATGCTCAATTTGTAATTCCACCTGCCACACTGAAATATTCCTCGGCCTGTTTCGACGTAGTGTTGACGTTGCAAAGCGATTAGTACGTCCTACGTAGGTGCATAGCGTTCGCTAGTAGGTACAAAATTGTAATGGCATGTGATAAAATATATTACTTAATATACTTAGTTATTATGTTATTATTATTAAGTGTTATTGTTGTATTGCGGAATTTTGTACTTTTCACATTATTATATTCACTATTTAAGATTTCGATGTTTCACGTGAATGCCTATTTCAGCATTTTATTTTTAAAAACTAACTTCTATTTCCATCTCCCCTTTACATTCCTGTTAGCTTTATTCTTTTTAAATCTGTAAAGGAAACCTGTAAGGTATTTTCTATTTTTTTTTATTTATAACAAGCAGATGGCCAGTCTGATGGTAAACGGTTATCGTAGCCTGTGGACGCCAGAAACGTGCACAATGCCTATCCTTAAGAAATCTTAATATACCTTCCTTAATTTTTATAAATAAAAACTGTGGAAAAGTTCAAGTGTTCTTAATAGTGCATATAATACAGTCACAACGTGTAATGTAGCGATTTCTAATAGGTACATACATAATTAATGTTTGTGACTGCGATGTTAATAAAAGCCTGTTTAGTGTAATTGTTTATATTTGTATACATATAGGTACAGTCACGAGCAACAATATTGTCATAGTATTTAATTAATAAATAGCTATTGCATAAGGTACATAATTGTTTGCACATTGTTGGTCGTGACCCTGCCTACATTTATATCAGCCAAAGATAGTTTCATGTGTAGGTACATGAAAATATTGACTGATTTCTATAAAGAAATTTAATATTAGTAAAAGTACAATATTATTTAACATAAAGTATATAATAGCATATACCTAAATGTCGTGCGACATTATGTCGAAAAAGAATTAGCTTATGGTTCCATTTCCAGTTACAGTTAAACAAAATATATAAATGGCTTTTCAGTACCCTTTGTATAGAACCTTAAATAACTCAAAATATATATGTATGAGCTTCTAAGACATTTCTGCAGTGATTAGTGTTGTGATGTTAAAATACGGGGTTATTACATTATTAAATATATTTGTTCACATTTATATTAATTTGACAATTTATGGAGCTGTAGATACACTATTAGTACAATTATAAAGTTTTACAATATCTTGTATAGCTTTAAAAAGTGGGATCAATTAGCATTCTTAACATATATTGTTGGCTTTAAAATGCGCATTATAATGTATTTGGTAGTGTAATAAACCGCCTAAAGATTTTGGAACACTCTTACTGTCAACTTGTAAATACTTGCCCATTTTAGCTGAATAATTTAGAATATACTCAAGAGGCACACTATACTATTTGAGGCAAATACGTCTATTTGTCTAAAAATGCTTCAAATTGTAGTTTTTTTTATAATTTATCAGTTTTTAATTATGTCGGTATTCCTCGGAATACTTACTTGACCATAAGTTAAACATAACATTACATAAAGAACTGAACAGGGCAAAGAATAAATAATAATTATTCTATATTCCTACTAATACCTAGTTACTTGTCGGTTATGGTTCAAAAATTAAGGATGTAGGTACTCAGTACCCAACTATACATTTGAAGTCCAAGACAAATTAGTCTCTGTATTTAAAAACAGCTTTATTTTGTAGTTTTTTTATTAAATTATGTAATAAAAGATAAATTGTTACTGTGCTGATTTTCTTTTAAAATAAGGCCTACCGCGGGTCTGTGGTCCGTGGTATTTTACTCGCTTTGCCACAGTTTTATAACGTGTGGTACACTAAATTTAGCCTTTATTATAAGATTTAAATAACACATATACGCCAACTACCGACTTTTAGATCTGTTTAGTATTGATATTAAAAGATGTACAATTTGAATACTTTAATGTGATAGACTCTTCATTCTCACAATAAATATTTATAAGTTTTAAAGAATGTGCAAATGCATTTGCATATTGTAAATTTTAATTTAATTAGTAATAATAATTAACAACGTATTATTAAAAATTGAATTAAAACAGTTAAAAAAAATATTTAAATATGTTAGATTAATAGATATTTTTTTTTAAGTTTGCTTGATTATGTGGTATTTATGAATTTTGTTGTATCATATATTTTACACAGGATATAGTTTTACATACATTTAATTGGTGATATTGGTGCTCTAGGACATAAATTATGAAAAAAATACTGTAGGCCTTTTACTTTCGCCAATTGTTTTTTGATATACAATAATTATTAATTATCACATTATAATAAACAGATGGCAACCCAGTGAATTAGAATTTAAAAACCATGCTTTTAATATGGCATACACATTTTTTCTAAATAAATTATTAACACGTTATACCTACTTATTTAAATCACTGTAGGGATAAGTAATAAGGCCATTTATCACTTACACCGCATAAATTAATTTTATACATTTCCAATCGTACCGGTATTGTTTGGAATACTTATTTCAACATAGGTTAAACATAAAATTGCATTGAATAAAGAACTGAACTGAGTAAAGAATAAGAGTCTTATTGCAAGAACTTATGACTTATAAAATTAAAGTGCCTTGATAGGGTTAGTCATAATATGAATGTACCAAGCAGAAACCCAGTGAGTATTAATAAAAGTGAATGTTATGCCAAACAGGCAATAAACATAATTAAAAATAATGTTGAAAACTTTCATACGAACTACACATCAATCACGTGTCGGTGACGTGATCAATCTTTCTTTACATATTATCAAACAGAGTAAACGGACTTTGAAGCAGTTTTCAGCAATAGATACAGTAATTAAAGAGGAAGGTTTACATATATAATACATACCGATTAACATGCACATCATGCAGTACTCACATTGGTATACTCTATGACTAATCCATTATTCATTCAATATATAAAAATATAATATCTTCATATTTTGTATACTATATTTTGTTATTCATGTACTTATATATAATATTAGAATATATTCAAACTGCACTGAAGTTTTAACTGGATGTCTTATGATATATATGTAGAAACAATCATAATAAAAAAAAAAAATGTATTGTGAGTTAAAGTAGATTTTTTAAAACTAATGGATTAATTGATTTTAATAATTAAAAACTCATTTACTCAATTTATTATTGCATGTACAAATGTATTTATTAGAATATTTAAAAAAATAGTAATATAAAAGTATTGTGGTATAACAAAAAAAACAATTTGCGAAATGTAGTTATATTGTATAAATTGAAAATGGTGTTATTATTTATATAAATACTTTTTACTTTTGTATGGAATGGAATAAAAAACAAATAAATTTGAAGAAACTATAGTTTTATTTAAAATATAAAATTTATATATCTATATATTTATAGATAACTTTTTAGATATCTATTTATATAAAAATAAATATTTTATTTTTTACCACCCTTGTCTCGTCTTTTCTTTATGTGTTTCTTAGTTTTAGTTTTCCTTTTTTCTGCTTTTTCTTCTTTTACGGCTTTCTTTCTTGCCTTTTTGCTATCTGGGGACTCATCTCTAGGTCTAGCATGGTTCTTATGTTTTGTTTCTGAAAATAATTGGTAAAGTGGTAAGTTCATAACAAAATCTTACTGAAATATAAAATACATTTAAGTTAATGTTTGAACACAGACAACCTTAATGTTAATATTACATTTATATCAAATCTCGACACTTAATGCCTTGTCTAATAGCCATTTCATAGCTTTTCTTCATATTAACTAATCTCACGTTGTTAAAATGAAGAAAAGCTATGAAATGGCAGAGAGCCTTTCTATGTAATGGTGGGTGCCTCTCAAGGCACTTATACTTTACTATATATGATATGTATTATTTAGTGTGTATTATTATGGCCTAGTGGTTAATTACCCTGGCTTCCACCCATGAGATCTGGCCGAAATACAATCGTCAATTTATATATCTGACTGACTCACCAAATATCAAACCAAAAAACAATCTGAAAGACAGCCATAGGGGTATGTTAAGTGTTGTTAACCACAACAATGGACAATGCATCTGACTACCTCAACAGTTGTAACAGTATGCTTGTAACATATTGTACAGATATTTAATATAACTCACTATTTTCTACTGCATCATCATTATCATCAGAGCCCGTGTCGGAACAACTTTCAGAGATGCTAACATCTTGTAATATGTCTGGAGTGTCAATAGTAACAGTAAGATCTTCATTGAAGCCAGCAATTTTTTTGTACATTAAATCATCTGTTTCACCTTCTTTCGCTTTGTTGATATCTCTTTCATAATTAATGACCTGAAAATGAAAATGGATCATCATAAACAAGTGAAGTGGAAGTTTAGCTTATTGATATGGAATCCAAAAAATTATAGATACAAATTTATTTACCAAATAATTTTTCTAACAAAAAAAATTATAATTTTATTGTCAAGTTTTCCTTTAAAATCTGTGTGGCAGTACATGAAAGTAATTTTATTAAACTCAATACACACTGAATTATTCAAAATTATATTAATATGTAGTGACAGTGAAAGTACATTATTTGTATGTGTATCATTATATAGTTGAGAACAAATATACCTCTGTTAGACGTTTTGGAATATAAACATTTTTAAAAGCCTCCTCTTCAATTTGCTGCTGTGCAGACATTTCTTCAAAATTCCTAGATGCCGCTTTCTCTGACAACCTTTCAAGACATTCCTCTAAGTTTGACTCATTAATATTAGAATCCGTTATAAAATCGAATAGCTCTTTTACAGTTAATGTAGCTACACCTCTCTTTGCAAAGAAATCAGATATATTAGTGCAATCTTTTCTTAAAAACTCAAATGCATGTGGATGGTTATGTTCCACAGATTGTGAAACATCAATAACAACAACATTTCCCTTGTGATATAAGAGGTTGAACTCTGATAAATCTGCATGCACTAGTTTACATATGTTAAACATTTTCCACATCATCATAATACAGTCTCTGTATAGTGATCGTGCCATAGATTGTGATATTTCTACATCTTTTAATTTTGGTGACGGCCAACCTTCTTCTCCCATAAAAGACATTACCAAAACATGACTACGTAAGATAATTGGCTCCGGTACATTTAGGTTAGCATTATACATTCGAACCAAGTTCCTCATTTCCTTTTCTGCCCAAGTTCTAACCATTTTACGTGGGTTTGATCTACAGTAGCCATTTCTGAAACGGTATTCTCCAGATACATATTTGTCTCTGTCTTTGAATACTAAAATTGATGTTTTAAAAATTTTTATTGCATAATCACGACCATCTTTCGAAGTGGCATGGTAAACGTTTGCTTCCTTTCCAGTTGAAATACAGCCATTTATTTCATTTATTATGCCTCTGTTGAGCAGTTTGAAGAGTATCATTTTTGTACGAGGATCCATAACTTGCTCTGCAGTAGCTCTATCATGCTTATCTTTAATTCTAATTCGACCGCTGTCAAATTTCCTGTCATTTTGATCCAAGAATTTTTCAGTATTGTTACATAATAACGGCTGGTATTTATCAACATTGATTTTGTTAACATACTTCTTGAACAACTTCTCTGCTGGTTGGTATGTATTGATTCTATTAGATGGCAATTGGCAGTTGACACCATCTCTTTTTTTTGTTGCATTTGTTGGATCATCTGAATCATAGAAAAACTCATCCGAGTCAATATCATCATCGTTGCTGCTCTCTTTCTTATATGTAGGTAATTCTGTAAACTGGAGAAAACATATTTCATAACTTGTGAACACAATATTCAATGGATCCGATCAAATCAAATAAGATGCATTATGATGTAATAAACAAGTAAATAAATACCATATGTTTTCGTAAACGTATAAACATTTATAATAATATAAATAATAGTTAACTATACCAAATAATATTTATTGCAATAAAATGTTATTTTTTAATGCCATATATTTGTCAACTGTTTTGGAAAATAGGAATTTTCATTTACTTTTTTACTGTACTTTAGTACTAGGTCAAACAATTAATAAAAGAAATATATTACAAATTTTTTGATGTATTTATTTTAAAGAAAAGGGACAACATCATGTAGAAATAAACATACCCGTACTGACTTTAGTTTCGTAACTATTTTTTCTTCGTAGTCACTGAACTGGCCGCTTGACTCATCAGACATCTTTAAATTTTATTATTTTTAATAAATAAAACACCAATAACTACTTTTTAACAGTAAATAAAGTGAAAATGTACAATACAAATATGTACATGCGACTGCCATGTGCGGATTGCGGGGCTGCCAGATGATACTTATCATTTCCCCACAAATTTAAAATCTCCATCTACAAATTGCATTGTTAGGTACATATCTATTTCGTACGTCTGTATTTTTACAAAGAAAAATGTAATTTAAATAAGTATGTTTCCGGTTGAATTGATAGTATAGTAGTTTTTCACATTTTATTATATTCTTGTCTTCAAAAATATTAAATTTCTCCGAGTCTAAATTTTTACCCAAAGAATGGAAAATCCCATTTTAAGGATTGCTTGACATTAACGATCAAAAATAATACATCGCTTGACATTGACAATGACATACGTAGAGATCTGCCAAGTGACATTTATTTGATGTTATAGTTTTTATTATATTTATTATTCGTTGGTGTGGAAATTATCTATACAGCCACATGCATGCACACAGCATGACAAGCAAGCATGCATTTATTAGTTAGAAGAAAATCATGTCGGTCGTCTTATTGTCTTGCTTAATCCATGTGCAACAAAATACACATTATTAATAATATTTTATACTACAGAGGTATTACACACAGTCACAATTTTTATTATTCGAAATGTGAACGACTCGTAACATTGCACCATTCTGCAATAATACTAATTACTGAATCAATAATTACACATCTCGCTACTAGGGAGGTACTAGTACTACTATCGGTTTCGGTGCTACAAGTTACGTACCTACGTATGTACAATTGTACGTAGCACAAGATAATTCTATTTACAATTTGAAATGGTATGTAATAAAATAAATATTGCAAATTAAACAGGGGGACATAATTGAGGAATCAGCCAATTCAATGATAATTGGAAAAACGTTTCTTTATACTATGCAATTTGTTAAACAGAACTCCGTTATTTTCAATGAGATGTGATTTACTTATTAACCATACCGTAAAAACCCAGAGCAAAATACGGATTTCTCTATACCTATCTAAGTTTTTGTTTTTAGTTTACCTTATCAACCGGTGTGATTTACTTCACAAGATAACTGTTGTAATATGGGGACGAAAAAAAAAATTATATACGAATCACCATTTTTCATTCATACCTATTCCAAAATCAATTTTTTCACTTCGGCCAGAATACTTGTATGGAGAATAAAACAAATAAGATACCTATGTATTGTGTATGTACAATACATTCTTACTTGTATTATGAGTACTACGTCACAAGCAAAAAAATTCAGGATTTTGCCATAGTTATGTATACCTTACACATTTAATTAAATTACCTACCTATTAATTGTTATTATAACAAGGTAAATAAATTTTATCGCTCGTGATTCAACCATAGGAATTATATAATTTTATTTAGGTACTTAACCGTAAGACAGGACTGGAAACTGCCGTTTTCGACAACAACTCGAAGTATTACTTCTTAAATTACATACAAAGCATTGTGACCAAATAAAATGCAATCAAAATCATTAATTATATAATAGGACATTGACGTGGCATATAAATGTTAAGCTTTTTGTATCAATATTTATTTCATACCTTCAGTTTAGTGTCAGTAGTTTGTGTAAGGAATAAATGTTTGTAGCAAAGATACATAATAATTACACTGCTTTCTGTCTCGTGTAACGATCACTTGTTATCTCGTAAACCTCAAATTGTACCTTTGTAAAAGAACGCAAGCGAGTTTTGTGAATCACTCACACAAGATGATATAAGCTAACTATATCTAGTGTTATGCACCAGTTTCCAGGACAAGGTTTGAACATTCATTAAGGTGGTAATTCCCACGGATTATAAAGTTTATTGACTGGCACTATCCTGTAGCTTGAAAATTGAATAATTGCAACTGTGGTAGTAGGAAGTCGATATGTATTAATGCATTTAAGGAAAAACACTAGTATTGTGATGACTGTACCTACTCAGAAAAACCATAGTAGTGATCCCCTTATTCATAAAATCGCTGGTTTCTAATAAACTTATTCATTTTAATTGTTGTACTCTGTTAGCCTTTCTTGTTAATTTCCTTAATTGAAAAATGAGATGGGATAGTAGGAGTGCTACTAAAAATGATATGACATATTGCTATGAAAAGGGGGAAATGTATGTTAGTAATGTGGACTATTAACCCCATTGCTAGCAATGTACTATATCAAGTTGATCTCCACGCAGTTCCGCCTGGCTAACTGACCTGACTTCATGATCATTTTTGATTTTAACTTGTATATTCTTACATATTATATTGTATATGTATATATGATAAAACGAACTTGTATACATATAAAGCATTCTATCATAATTTTGATATGTGAATATTCGGTGCTGTTTGTAAAAAGTATCTAATAGTCATTCGTGATATAAATAAATAGATATCGCATGCCATTAAAGCGTGGTTTATCGTGCACACCTAATGTTTATAAACAGCATTTTCTCTAGTAGGTATCTCTACATATACCTCAATGATGCATTACAACGTTTTTATTGCTGGTTGCAGTTGATTAATCAAGTAACAAAGGTCGGGGTTGACCTTAGTTTAGTTGTAATTAGCGTAGGTATACAAAAAGTAACTGTCAAGGTAATAAAGAAAGGAAATGCACCTGAAACCATAAATATTTTTTAACATATTCCAGGATTTCAATTATGCAGAGCTGATACTAGTTACTTACTATTGATAGTTAAAGTTGTGAGTCGTATAACTTACTGTGCCTTATAAAAATGCCTTGTTAAATGGGCTTTGGAAAACAAAATGCCATCGATTTAATCATTTAATCTGTAATTGTTAGAATTAATGTTAGATAATTAAGAGCCAGGCTGTTATCCTTGGATACTACTATATTTTAGTAACCAACTTGTCTATTATGAGAACAGATTTTGTTGATCCAATTTAAATCGGAAGTACGTTTACCTCATCTAAGTACATTTCAATAACAGGAAATAATTTGTTTATATAATTACCTATTTCGATCTTGCGCTGAGATTATTATAATATAAATAATTTTAGAAGCAAAGTAATGAATACTTACCTGCCACTAAAGTGATATTTTTTATTTACGTATATATTATTAAATTATGTATGTTTTATACAGTTTGTATACGAGTTTAGTTCACACAAATATATATATTCAGATAAACAATGAAGAGAAATAAATATAGTATTATACATACATACGATTACTGTTTTTATATTCTGCGATTTTTTTAGAGGATCGCTATAGTATTATCATATCATATAGTTATAATTATTTAGACTCGATATCGGTGCATACATATAATGACTATGTAGAGGCATCCTGCGATGATCGCATATAAAGATAAAATGATACGTTACGGATATGTTTAGTTAAATTTTACTAGAACGGACTAAACATAACCTTATGAAGTGAATTGACGTTGTACTGAAGTATTTAAGAAGGCTACGCTCTGAGTGACGGGCCAAAACCTCGCAATAACGGCTCGTAGCCGGCCGAAACAATCAGTTTAAAAAACATTCATCTAACAAATGAATTGAAATTTAATTTGATTTAACTTGTGTGAAGAGAGACAAAGAATTCCAAATGCCTGCTGATTCAGACCTGATACTGCCAGGAGGCGAAGATAGGGAGATCGATAAAAGTCTGTTTAAAAGTCTCCCGGAGAGATCAAAACATGAAGACTTTATCAGGCGGGCAGTGGATTTACTGGTCGAGAGAGTAGTGTTCGGTAGAACCTCGAGGACTTCGAAGGTGGTGGAATGGACCGCACCAGACGATATTAAGGTTGCCATAGACTTGAAACCCAGAGAGGGACCTGTTTCACATGATGAACTTTTAGGACTTATGGCCGATGTAAGTGAGAATTCTTAGTTTGATTAAAATATACAGTCTTAAATATATATGTTATTCAAATATTCATTAGAAATTAAAATTGACAGTCAATCTATTAGCGGGGATTTTATCAAACTAAATCTTTTAATCTAAAGTCTATGCATGTGAAAAAACTTAAATTTGAAATTCTTTTAATCGTTCAACCTATTGTCAATTTGTCTCTAATTACAATTATTTCTATATGTAAAAGTGCAATAAAAAAATATATTCCAAAATAAGGATTATTTTTGTGTATTTGAAACATCTATCAGATATATAATAAAATGCATTAGGTTCACCGATGCAGTGCTTATATTTTTAATGTTTATTTCTATCTAAACAATTTACTGTACAAGCTGTTTTCCAAAATTAGGGCTGATCTGATGTGGAATCAGTGATGCTTATATGTATATGTGGTGGTGCTGTTCATACTTGTATGTGCCACTTTTAATCAATTAGGCCGTCAGCTTGTTTGTTAATCCTAATATATTTTTTTTTCAGGTTGCGAGATATTCAGTTAATACAGGTCATCCTTATTTCGTCAACCAATTGTTCTCCTCTGTTGATCCGTACGGTTTAATCGGACAGTGGTTAACCGATGCATTGAACCCCAGTGTGTACACTTATGAAGTGGCTCCAGTTTTCACTCTCATGGAAGAGGAGATTCTCCGTGAGATGAGGAGTATTGTCGGATGGCCGGAAGGTCAAGGCGACGGAATTTTTTGCCCTGGTGGATCGATCGCCAATGGTTATGCTATTAGTTGCGCTCGATTTTACTACTATCCTGAAATTAAGGTCAGTGTTTTAAATGAGTGACTTGATTTCTATATTATTTACATTAAGTACGCTAGAATTTTATCTGAGAATAATAAATTCATGGTACTACTAGTAATAATAATTGTTATAAAATTTTTTGTTTCATATATATTACGAGTGTATTTAAAAAGTATAAAAAACGTGTTAATTAACATAGCGCATAGAACTTGTAGTATCAGAACGAGAAAACTGAAAGATATACTGAAGTTAAAAATATTTTTATTAATATACATAAAATAAATAGAAAACTGTATAGACTAACAGAATACTGTTACTGACTGACCTATGTAATCTCTTTGCTCTCAGGGAGCTCCCTGTTCCATAACAGTAATAAGGTGCCAAAACTATCGTGTGTGTATGACATGCATATAAGGTTTTTGAACAATAGAATAGAAACTCTATTGTTAAAAACGTTACTTAGGGTAGGCAGAGATAGGCCTCTGCTTACCCTAAGTAAGGCAAGTAGGCAGGTCTCTCATAAGGTCTCTATGAATGAACATTTTTTTTTCCGTGGCCAATAAGTATGTGTTAGATAACTGAAATGAAGTAGCAAAACGGTGTATTTGAAAACTGTATCATTAATGAGCTGCGGTAACTATAGTTCTAAAGAAAAAATAATTATTTAAGTACAATGTTGCTTTAACAAGTATCTGTCATTAAATTGTTATTAGGTTACCTAGGTTCAAAGCGGCTGTGGCAGACCATAATTATGTCTCATTTAATAGTGCTTAAGCAACTACTTAAAATCGATGATAATTGTAACTTGAATACTATACTTTGATTTTATATATGTATATAAAGTTATTATTTCTAAAGTTATGACTACTACTTTTGGATCGTAAATAAATTATAATTAAATGAAATTTTATCTACACTAGGATAGGATAGATAGTTAATAATATATAAAATATTTTTTTAGATTAATAATGCTATATTCAGTTTATATGTATCAGATTGTAGGTTATTGCAAACTAAAAATATTATAAATAAAACTACGTAGGTAATAAAAATGAAGTCCAAAAATAGTTAGGTTAAAAAATACAGAATTATATTGACCTTGACCCAGAAAATGGCGAACTATGTTTAGTCTTGTATAATCGACTTATGTATTAATTACCCACAATACCTATTTGTGTTACTAGTCACTGGCATTATGCAGTATAGCTATTACATAAAAATATCAAAATTTTTATATCACTCTTAATATATATAGACGATAGAAAAATATTTTCATTTCTATTATATACGCAGGTCCATTTATTAATATAGTTACTGATATTAATATTATTGTATTTAATATATGTATACGTAAACTATATATATTTAAAAAAAAAATCAATTTAAATGTTTATAGGTTATACATACGTACCAAAATGTATAAAATTAAAAGCCAGTTTTTATGATAGATTACGTTAAAGTATATTATTAAAATATAAAAAAAACAGTATTTTAAATTGTCACTGCTATATTTGCAGATATATAGCAAACGGCCTTAAAACAAGGCTCCAAAGAATAATAAGTACATAACAGTTTGTTGACCTTATTTCTTAATAACGGATCTATAATTATTAGTTATTACAATTTCGCAGAAACAGATCATAGATTGGTCTAGGTCGTTCATGATAAAACTATTAATACTTCCATTCATAGAACTAAATTAAATCATAACTTTGTAGATAATTTTAGTTTTAATAATTTTAAGTTAGGATTTGTATTCGAAAGAGAAGGCTCTTTCTGTAAAAATATAAGTAGAACTAAGCATATTTTCTTAAGAGTTATAGACATGTCTATAATTTTGTAAATAGGCTTGTCAGCATATCTTATTATAAAATAAATATTGTAAACGCGAAAGTTTGTGTGTATGGATGGATGTTTGTTACTCTTTCACACAAAAACTACTGAACGGATTTTGATGAAACTTTACAGTAATATAGCTTATACATCAGAATAATATATAGGCAATAAATTTTACGCGAGTGAAACCGCGGAAAGCTAGTGGTTATGGAAAGTTAGTCAAATATGGAATTTTATTTCACTGAAGTATTCATTATTCTTTTGCAATCATCAAGTAAATTCAACTAGTCTATTTGACAATAGATACTTTTGAGGGAAATGACAATACGAGTAGTATTGTATCTTTAAATGTGTCATGTATATTTAACTTAATGTACTGAGGAAATTTCCATTATGATCTGCCGCTTTTACTTGAAAGGCTACACACTTACTGATAAACCACAAACGTGTTTGGCATTCCAGTTAAATTAAAAAATAAGATGATTTCCAGAATCGATATTTTTTAGCTCCTCCTTTTCTTTCAAATCTCTATGTCTTTATCATGAATTATTTTAGGTAAACACTTCTGATAACTAAAATTAAAACTAATACTCGGTATTATATTAACATTACAGAGTAAAGGTGTCTACGCTGTGCCAAAGCTGGTTCTTTTCACTTCAGAACTTGCACATTACTCCACAAAGAAAATGGCCGCATTCATGGGAATAGGGAGCGATAACTGTATTCTTGTGAAAACTGACATTTATGGCAAAATCAATGTAGACGACTTGGAAATAAAGATCAACGGAGCTATCGAAGACGGTGCGACTCCGTTTTTAGTAACGGCAACGTCAGGAACAACTGTTTATGGAGCCTTCGACCCTTTGGTACCTATTTCTGCTGTGTGCAAAAAATACAATTTATGGCTACATGTGGATGCAGCTTGGGGAGGTGGTGCATTAATGTCAAAGAAGCATAGACATCTACTATCAGGAATTGAACTGTAAGTAGTTGTTAGTTTTGTAATTAAAAATACCTTAATTTAAACAGCCTCGGTGGTCTAGTGGTTTAGCACACCGCTTTACTATCCGATGGTCGTGGGTACGATTTCTCAGACGGTACAAAAATTTGTATTCATGAGTATGATTGTTTGTGTCGGTCTGGGTGTTTTCTGCGTATAATATGTATTTATTTAAAAAAAATATATATCCATATATTTATATCAGTTGTCTAGTACCCATAACACAAGCTCTGCTTAGCTTGGGACTAGATGGCGCTGTGTGAATTGTCCTGAGATATTATTATTATTATTCGTGTTCTCACTATAATCTGCAGATAACTTTAAAACAGAAGAAGTTTAGGTAAAATAAATTTACTATAACTGTAAAAAAACGTAACTAAGGAAAAGTCTATTAATTCTGAATCACTCTATAACCGACTGCTCAGTAAATGACGAAGTTATATCATTTATAAAATAATGATCTACATATATTATAATAATTGTCATTTTACAATTAGTTTAATAAGTAAGCAATATGGGATTAATATAGTTATTACACCTATACATCACAAAAATATGGGAAAGGGAAAAAAGCATACTTAATAATTTCTGTCAAAATAAGCTTATCCATATAATTTGGACGTTGGATGAATTTTCTTTTACCGTGATTAAAGTCGTTGACAATTAAAAAGAGTATGAATGAATTCCCTCCAGCCGCCATCAAAACTATAATTACATAGCTTATCATCAATTACATAGCTAATTAGAATAAAATAAAACTAAACTAAATTTCATTAATCTTGTACTATACTATTCAGCACGAAGGAAACCACGTTCGTAACCAGTTATTAAGGGTAGCGCGTGCGCATTGACAGCCTTGACCCTGAACTCTTCCGTTATTTCAAACATCGAATGCTAATGTAATACTATACATATTTTTTATTTGTTTATCTGACTATATTATAGGCGTTTACTGTGATTAATTCTTAAATCTAAAATCATCATGATTATATTTAAAATTCATATAACATTTCAGGGCCGACTCGGTGACGTGGAACCCTCACAAGCTCTTAGCCGCGCCACAACAATGCTCCACATTCCTAATTAGGCACAAGAATGTTCTCAAGGAAGGACACTCCTCTAACGCGAAGTACCTCTTCCAAAAAGACAAATTCTACGACACGTCTTACGACACCGGGGATAAGCATATTCAGTGCGGACGTCGAGCTGACGTTCTCAAATTCTGGTTTATGTGGAAAGCGAAGGGTTCGGAAGGTTTCGAGAAACATATTGACACACTTTTCAATAACGCCAAGTATTTCCTCGAGCACATACGGCAGCGTGACGGGTTCGAATTGGTCCTTGAAAATCCAGAATGTACTAACATAATGTTTTGGTACGTACCTACGTGTCTCCGTGGCCGTGAAAATGAACCAGATTATAAAGAAAGGTTGAACAAGGTCGCACCAAAAATAAAAGAACGAATGATAAAGGAAGGAAGTATGATGGTCACATATCAACCACAAGGTGACCTAGCTAATTTCTTCCGCATAGTATTCCAAAATTCCGCTTTGGATCACAAGGATATGGTTTACTTCGCCAACGAGTTTGAAAGGCTCGGTAAAGACATAGTAGTTTGATTTAACATACGAAGTAATATAATTTATACTCACAACGTACAAAACTTGCATGTGTTACTGTATTATATAATTTATTTGGATTCGATTGTAAAGCTTCTTTTTGTTGTGTGTAATATAGAACTTACAGTTAATATTTATTTTAAATTAGCAATATAAGTGTAAGTATACTTGTTCTGATAAAGTTATGTATGGGAGTATATGTGAAATAGTATAAATGTTGATCTATCGAAATTAATTGGTTTTAAATTACTTTGATTAAGTTATTATTGAACGATTTATTGACGTAAATTTATTGAATTTTCCAGTGCTTATTATATGTACAAATAGAAACTTCGATGTTTGAAATAAACTCAATATATAGTTTTATAATTTGAAAAAGTGTCGAAATGTTATAATTTAATTATAATAAGTTTATGATTACATATATGTGGTATCCATCTACTATGAATTAAAAGTAAATTAATAAATAATTAATAATTGAATACAGACACAGTGTCTGTATGTATGAAGTTTGTTACCTGAATAAAATATATTTTATAATGAAAATACTGTAATGAATATAGTGTAGAATGTAGTGTTAACTACTTTCATGAAATTCCTAATAAACATTATTCTTTTACTATTGGACTTCAAGCTACCATTTCATTTTCTTAATTATATTTACGAAGATTGTAATGAGAGGCATTTACTGCATATTTATTTATGTTCAGTAAATTGATCTCTATAAATTAACACATACTGTAGGTACGTGTCAAAGACAAATGGATGGTTCCCTAGTGTAATGACCCAATTCCAAATTACTTACATGCAATATTATTACTGTATTGTCTACGTATCTAATCGATCAATCCGCATTTGAAGGAAATTATGTACAAATATTATTTCTTCTATCCAAAGGTAAATAATATAAACTAGAAGTGGAAAAATTATCACTTTATATGTTTTAGTTTTTCTTTAATGGGTTATTGATATCTTATGTATATATTACACAAAAAATCGATGATTTGTAAGAAATAATCTACATACATTATGTATATATTATAATTTTAAACTATAATACTTACCCATAGATGTACTTACTCTGGTAACGATTTATATAATTCGAGTATAAGCCAGAAATTGAGAATCTACTCTTTTTGGAAGTAGATTAGAATATATACGAATAATAATAATAATAATTCTGGACAATTAACACAACACCATATAGTCCCAAGTCCCAAGCTTGTGTTAGAGGAAGAACAAATACTTTTTCGTAAATATACAGAGAAAACACCCAGATCGATACAAACGATCATAGTCATGAATACAAAATGTTAGTACTATGCGAGGATCCCAAGATCATCGAAATTAAGTCAGTGTGCTAAACCGCAAAATTTATAAATTATTTATAAAAAGCACTCCCTTTATTCTGTACGATGGAAATGAAACTATTTTCCAGCCTACACTGAACTGCAGAAAGCATGTTATTGCATGTACATTTGGTGCAGGCGCTGGTTTCGTGTAGGTATCATTTTAATAATATTTTTATTTCTCAAATAATAAAATATAACATTTGCTGCTTATAATATACTTTAGAAGTAATAATCGAGACAAAACGGTCACAACTAACAGGGTGCTGTGAGTCCACCCTCTCTGCAATAGCTCTGTTATAGCCTTTATTAGTAAATTAACACAATAAAAAAATCAACGACATAATTACGTACAATGTCACAACGAAAAATCATTACCTAAATAACTTTTTGTTATTTACGGTACTGATATTTAAAACACAATATAAAATAATATAGATATATATTTGGTAATTTCTTATGAGGGTTACATTTAACGATCCTACATTATATTTTGGAATGTAGTTTCAACTGAGAAGATGGACAGGGCTCATAATCGACTTGATGTCAGTGAAATCCAATCACAAACGCTAATTCAATCATTTAGAAACACACATACTTCAAGAACTGTTACCTAATCCCCCACGCGTTCTATCTTGCTTAATGTGAGGTAATGTAAAGTATTTAAGTTATAATAATCCGCAGTCGTACCGTAGATAAGTCTTCCATAACGTGAAGATCGCACGTAGATGCGCGACATTTAACTTATGAACATCGAGATTGCTATTATAATCTGAGGGATTTGCACTTTCAAACCTGGAGCATATGAAACTTATTTCAAAAGACTATATAATACTTACTAAAACGTCTTCAGAATTATTCCACGGAGAGAGTTTAGAACAATGTCGTCGGCCCAATCCGTCTCGGTGCATGTTCTTTTATTTTAGTTTGTTTACAAACTGTATTTTAGGTTGAAGAGTAACATATGTTAATTATATTATTGGTGATTTAAGATTTTTAAATTACAGGAATTGTGAAATGTGTGACTTATATCTTTATGTTGTTGAATCCAGTGTTACTCCTTGTTTTTTTTTATTTATTTTACTTCAATGCAAAATATAGTACAGTACGTTTGGCGAACTTAACACCATGCGGCATTTTCTACCAGTCAATCATACATAGTGCAGAGAATAATTGTTGACGATGAACATATAATAAGTGATAAACAAAATATAATCTTTATATATGAGGAATATTCTTGTTAACTTAAGTTCTTATCACAATCAAATCATATCTATCGATTCTTATATCATATATCGGCTTCGGACGTACAAACGTAATGGATGTAAATAAAATTAATATTTCCAATCATATAAAATATTTACTTGTTACAAATGAAATGAGATAATAATTATTTCAAATACTGTAATTTGCTTTTTAAAAAAGTATATATTTTTTGGTAATTTATATAGTTATTTGTCGATTTAGAAATGCCTTATTATGTAAGAAACCTTAAATGAATATTACCCCATACGTATTAGATGTTGCCTAATAATAATATTATTATATATAGGTATTCATTCTAGCTATATATAATGCATAAATCACATTTCTTCAATTAGAGCTACTTCAGATCATAGTGTCATGTGAGTACGATATTGTGTTGGTAAAATTACAACTTTTCTTCCTTAGCCTCCAGTGATAACTCCTCACAATTTAGCTGAAAATAAAATAAATAGATAACTTTATTTGGTCAAAACAAAACACATAGCGTAAAATAAAATTAAGTAAGAGATACAAAGGTAACTACAGAAAAATGGATAATTGATAATGTACAAGTGTTGTCTTTGCATTGGTGTCATCGCATAAAGTCAGCAAACTACTGAATTTCAGCAATGTGAGGACATATGTGAGAATGCATGTAAAAGATTTTCGCACAATAAGTAAAGAGTACTTTTAAATACAGTAAAAAATATAAAAGTCCTTTTTTTGAGTATCACTCACATAGAGTGTTAACGAACATATAATAATGTATAATGTGCACATACTAAATTAAAAATAGGATTGTCTCACCAGAATTTCATCATTGGGCACTCTAGAGAGTAAATCCAATATTTCATTGTGTGGTATTCTATTCGGCTGAAGAATCTTCTTTGTGTACTTGCGTATACCTGAAATTAATAATTGTTCGAGTTCAAAGTAAGTAGCGAGTGAAAGTATTTGTTTTTGTTATTTTAATTTAAACGGTTATTCATTAGTTATAGACTATTATATTTATAGACTAGATATTTACAATTAAATTTGTAAATAATATAAGGAAAATTAAGTGTAACATTTGTTTTACAATTTTCATTAATTAATATTATTTTGCATAAGAAAACAATGTAAATAATATAAATGAAAATAAAATAATACAAATAGTATAAATGAAAAATTATGATTAACATTATGCTTTCAGATTATTATAAATAAACTTACCCCAAGCCATAAGTAAATAGTTTACTGGTATTAAATACATTATGAATGATATTCCCAATAAGCAGAGTATTGCGAAAAGGCTAAGAAAAGGTACTGAGAAGTTGAACAAACTGAAAATAAACAAAATATGTAGTTATTGATATGATAACATATCACCCACAAGTGACTTAGTTTCATATAATTGTTTTTGCTAGCCATTAAAATGTTAAAAGACAACACATGTGTCTTAATATATAATAGTGGAAAAGGTTGTACTTGCTCTAAATTAGGGCGTAATTGTTTTTTTACCCATACTACTTAGGAATTAAATATCTATAATGATTTCATATAAATTTAGTTATACTTGTGATGCTGAGGTTGACTTACTTTTTCACACTTTCACCGAGATTTGCAATTTTACCAAGAAAATTTTGAATATTTTGAATTAGCTCTTGTAAACTGTGAATTTTTTGTCTAATTGATGTTTTCTCTTCCTGTAATATATTAAAATAATATAATTAATTGAAAATCTCACCTGTAATTAATTGAATAAAATGGAAATTAATAAAATATTTATTTTACTCAAAACTTTACATTATAAATTTTTCTTCTATATCTTCTAAAGATTAATAATAAAAAAATATGTAAAGTAATCAAAAAAAGTTAATAATTTAGTTTCAGATATTTAACTGATTTTAATCAACATCAAGTTTATTTGAATTCCAAGAATCAATATAGGTTAAGTGATATTTAAAAATGTAATAATATTAAACAAAGAATTTCTATATTTTATAGATTCGTATCAGGAAACTTTGCACTTAGATAATGTTTTTTTATCAAGTTTATCTATTTAGGTGTCTTTTTCGAGAAATAGTTATTATAAAACTACACACGGTGCTGCTCGCCAAATTCTCTTACTTGAACTTGGCTTTGACATGCTCCCGCGTGTCTAGATAAAATATCATATTTTACTTAAGTAAAATTAATATTTTAGTACAAAAATATGAATTCACACATTTCCCTAAAGCATCACTATTTTAAGTACTATCTTAAGTGACATAGTCTAATTTTAACCTTTTCTATTTTCCCACTGTCATCCTCCTTTTTTCTTTTTCTGTAGTGCATAAAATCTGAAAAAAGAATAAAAAAAAACAGTTTTATAATATATTAATAAAAATGCTTTTTGTGTTCGTCTTTATTTTGAATTAAAAAGAAAACAAGTCATCAATAGTTTCTTTCAATAAAAACAGTATTACAGCACATTAGTAATTGATTATAAGTGACTAATAAATTAAAATAAATTAATTTATTATTTTTTGTAGTAATGATTACTACAAAAACGATTGGTAGAGAGAAGTATGCTTGCAATATATTTCTATTTTAATCTTCTTGTATTCAAAATAATTTAGTTTAATTACCCTCAAAGAAGTTGTAATCTTCCGGGCTGTAGTAGAAGAAAGGAATTAATAACAGTAATGGGAGCATCCAAGCTTTATAAAACCAGTGGAATATTAACCATATTATTAATGCTATAGTATTTACTTTTCTTGATTCCCATTGAAACGAAGTTCTGCAAAGTAGAAGAGGTTTAAAGAAAAGTATTTAAAAATACCTAAATCAATTAAACTTACAAGTTGAGGAATGCTTATGGGGTTTTGGGATCGTGATTCATTACACTAGGTAGGTGGTGGTGGTAGGTGTACGACGGCCTTATTATCATCAGATGGCATTATTTCGGTATATATATATATATACAATGCTATTAAAAAAATCTTATTAAATACGATTATTGTTGTGTTCGCATATAAGTTATACGAGTTTCGTTGTATTTAAATCGTGTCATACTATTGTTAATGTCTGTCTTTGTCTATTAAATTTAACATTTGTTTTCTTAGTCCAATATTGAATCTGTATTGCAAGTCTAATGGAAAATTGAATTACATTTTTGTGAGTTAAAACATTGGCCAATTTGAAGTGGACGGTGTTTGGCGATGAAGTTCTTAGTGTTGTTAGAATAAAACTACTAACTTTGTAACTCTGTAAACTTTAAGAATCCAATTTATTATAGCTTTTGTTCTAGTCCAGTTTCTAGTAAACAGTCGTCTGTCGAACTTTTCTTCAACTTCTAGGTAATCGATTTCTCTCGGCTTTAATACCCTTAGTGAAGCTTTTATCTGCGAACAGGTTTATATTATTACTATTAAGTAAATTTTATTTATAACGGCCATTGCATGAAGGCAGAAGAAGGCAGGTGATGACTACTATATGAACATGAACATGCAACATGGTCATCACATTATTATGTGACCCGTAGTACAGTGGACACTCTAGAGAATAAAGGTATCGTATATACGTACTCTGTAATTACTCTGCCTTATACTATTTGTACCTAATTACATCAATAAACCACACAGTTTACAAAATAAGTTGCTTTACGACTGTAGATACTATTTCGTCTAACCTCTGTTAGAGTTACAGAATAGAATTAATCAGTACTATGTTATATGTTTTATATCAATAAAATTGGTTTAATTACTATTAATCATCAACATTGTTGGAATATTTTACAAATTAATAAGAACTATAACCTTCTACTACTATGTTAACCAGTTAGCTGTGTAAAAAGGTTAATTTTAAATTTATTTCCTTAACTGTGTATTATTATTGTACTTTCCGCCTGTCACCATTATCACTCTAATAGGAAGTGGAGTTGGTTCCGGCACTGCACAAAATGTCTACAAGTATGATTAGGTACTTTTTATTATTAAAAAATCATAAAAATATATACACCCTTTTTCCTTTACCATCTACAAAATACATTATCTTTATATAATAGGTTTTTGTTTGAGGAAACTTCTCGTATTTACTTACAGGGTTGAAAGATATTCTCATTTCAAGTAGTATTCTTGGATTGTTTCCTTTCGCCCGATATCTCTGAGAAATATCCTTGAGTGCATACCATGCTTTATGACCATTATCTATTTGAAGTAACGGTATTGATACACATCCGATCTCTTCGTTTTTTCTCTCGTCGTATACAATTACTTCTAATAATCTTGTGATATCGTTTATGGTACTGAAATATAAAATATATTTTTACAAAGTAATGATTTATGAAATATATAATATGTGAAAATATTGCCTATTTATGCTAATATTATATTTTCTTCGTTACCGTCATTATGAACCTGTATGTATCCATGTTGGATTGTGATCTCTAAACTAAACATTTTACATCTATTTGCAAAAGGCTAAGTACTAAAGTTGTATTATAGTATATTATAATTATATATCATAGCTACTTATAACTATCCTACTGCAGAACACGGTTCTTGCTTTGTTAGACGAGCATATTCACTGAAATGAAATTAGGTTTGACGAGTCTAATAACCTTCTGAGCTATGTCTCTTGAAATGGGATTAATAATTATGATTAGACTAGATATTGAATTATTATTATTATTAATCTTTATTAGAGATAGTAAATAAATATCCATTTTACATGGATTCCCAAGACGTGAAGTGTAGCGCTCATTATTCATCAGTCTAATCCTAGACCGGTTTCGTAATCAACAACTTTCTAATTTGATAAATATTTAATTTGGATAATTATCACTGACAGGTATATTCAAGTCAACTTATTTTATTATTTGTCTAGTAATATGCAACGGTAAGATAAGTTTTAACAACTTTAAGAGCAATATCAAGAACCTCGTATTATATTTCTTGGTTTATACATCCATTATTTAATTAGTCTGTCAGCAACTGACTAGTTAGATAGTAAATCAATTAGTGTTGTAATTTTACTAATTTTTCAATATAGTCAAGAGAGAAGTGAGTAGGTAGGTATTTGGCGATAACCTCAACAATTAATAATCGGTTTTGTAACTCACATGTTTTTAGAATGACATGATTATTGTTATTATTACTTTAAAAAATACATAGTCTTTACTTACAACGTGAATGCTTTCATCCAGTTCGGTTCGTTTGTCTTGTAATCTGTGTATGTCTGAAGTCTTTCATTTCCAATTTTGAGTATACAATAGCAATCCTGCCCAGCTAGACCCTTAGCACCGTAAACAATTATGGACAGCCATCCAACTTCGCTTAAATTGTCTAGTTGATACCAAATCTGAATAGAGGGATTTTGAAGTTTATTTCTGGAATCTACTAAGTTATACAAGCAAAAGTAGAAAGTTTGTACACAAATTATGATACCTCGAAAGGCGGAATATTTATGTTTCTTCACTATGTGAGTGTTATTTAGATTTAGAGAAATAATAATTTTGAAAATAGAATAGGGTAAATGTTAAAAGAATTGTATTAATGGATATTAAAAGTAATAAACCAAATAATAATTTCAGAATTACAGATTTTAAATATCGAATAAATAGTATTTATTCGATCTTCAAAATTATATTTAATTATTAATTTTTAATATGTGATCTTTATAAAATAATACAGTTTTTCTTACAGCTTCTAATCTTTTCTGCGATTCTTGGTAGTCACCGAGATCATATATATTATTGTCTATACTTGTTCCACTTATTGTAAGTAAGAGAAATAATTTGGCGTTTGGCATTTCACCTTCCAAGTTGATATTCAGTCTATGTGTTTTCTCTTTATCCATATTTGCCAAATCTATGACATGTCTGTAATTAAAAATTTATAAAGAAATGATATGAAAATGAAAAAATGTTTGACCTATTTATAAGACTAATATAGTAATAAACTATATTCAATTGCCTAATAATATTTTATTGAATGTTTTGAATTGATACTTTTTTACTGTACATACTACATTTTATATGCTCTAAAACATTGTTTCTTGAGAAAAAATAAATTAAACTTATTCTACATTTTTGTACAATTAGGCAATTTTTTTAATATATTGATTATCCGGTATTAAATAATAATCTCTTGGAATATATCTTATATATAAAATTCTCGTGTCTATATAAATTCTGGCTTGACCGATTCTCATAAAATTTTGTGAGCGTATTGAGTAGGTCTGAGAATCGGACAACATCTATTTTTCATCCCCCTAAATGTTAGGGGTAGTCTACCTCTAATTTTTTTTTTATTTTAAGGCAAAACTACGTTTGCCGGGACAGCTAGTATTTTTTATAAAAGTTATAGATAATGCTATTCCGAGGGCATTTTTTTAGAATGCCAGTATTTTATACTTTGTTTGCAACTTTTAAGGAAGAGAAGCAAAGATGGAACACAGAACAGAAGTAAGCAGTTCTGTGAGATAGTCAGTGCGATGGCAATATGGCAAAAAAAGAATAACTAAAAATAATCCAAAAATTAAACAGATGGTGAATGTTTGGTGTAAACATTATAAAATATAATAATTATTTTTGATATTTTTATCAAACTTGAAAAATTATTGAAGTAAAGGCGATACCTGCCAATAAAGATGTCTTTATCCCAAAGGGTTATCTCCAGCATATTCTCTTCATACATATTGAAATTAAATAGCTCTTGCCATTTTACTTCACTTGCTGCACTTTTCACAGATTTAGATTTACATTTGTCCGTACCTAATCTGTATGTAGAAATTGAAAATTGTTATTGAAAATAATATTATGCAAACTTAAGAGTGTTAAAAAACAAATTACGTTGAAACATACATACAAAACGTAAACCTCTGTTTTAAAAAAAAAAAGGCGCAAAACTGTTTGCTTTATGTTCAGTTTACAGAGGCATGATACTTTTGTATTCCGGAATGGCAACATGTGAGTGCTGTTTATGTATATAAGCGATGGTTGCACCTTATCAGCGAGTGGACTGTCGGCGTCTGCGTTATTAGAGATATGCAAAAAAAAATAAAGCACCAAACTGATACCTCTCTGCTTTAAGGCATTTTATGTGTGTATTCGTTTCTATTTTCCAATGCTTATGTTACTGTGCACAATTTGCTTTGTTAAGCAATAATATAATTCATACTGCATAATGCTTACATACAAATAAGTACATATTTAAAAATAACTTGTTAACTTACTTGAAGCGACAGTGAAGATTACGCGGTTTTTCTTCACCACCATTTTGTATAATATCTAATCCGGTAACATCGATTAATGCAATAGTTAATGTTGCTAATTTTAATCGTTTCGAAAATCTTGATTCGTTCGTAATTGCATTACTGAGTATAAGCTGCGATAGGAAAAGAAATTAATTCTAAAATATTTCCTGTGTCATTGTGTGACTCATGATTTGTTTTTTTAATAAATACTTTTGTGTGATTTATTGGCGATTGCTAGTAATAGGGACAAATGACTCCATTCAATCTGCACTCATTGGAAAACATCATTAAATCACTGTGGTCTTTGCCATAATACGATAACTTATTTTACTTCATTCTCAAACTGTAATTCTACACAAGCTCCTATAACATGCTCATCTATAAAAAAATCTTTTAATTAAGATAAAAATATAGGATTAGGAATGTACTTATTATCAGAAGACAAATATAATTTCTAATTATAAAATTAACTTTAATAATATTATTTCTACAAGTATCTAAATGTAATAAAAGCTCAATTGTTTAGAAGCGTAAATAACATTCAAAAGCCGAAGCAGTACAAATAAAAATTGGAATCGATTGTAAATATTGAAAAGAATTCGAAGTACATAGGCCGAGTGAGTAACGTAAAATGTAAATACAAAAAGACCTTTTCTAGCCCCGTCCCTGTGTCCTTTGTTTCTTTCTTTTTGTCTTTACTATATTTTTCCTTTTCCTCACGACGTTTTTCTTTGACAGCAGTTATTCGAGAACCGATTTTATTACGGAGAGAAATTCTCGGAGGCGGTGTAGTGGGCGTGACATTGTCGTCACTTCCCTTTTCTGTTTCATTTAATCTGTAATTTTAATTATTTGGTTCAAGTGTTACAATATCTAATGACATTTTGTTTGTAAAGTTTAAAAGCGTCCCTACAATGTATATTATATTATGCTGATTTAGAAAATATATCTGTCAATCAAACGCTAATAATTACATAAATCCAACATACTTGCATTCAAACAGAATTGCAGTATACTTAATGAAGATCTATCGCGTGATTTCGTAAAAGTAAATATTCATAGGTTTTCGTTATTAGCATATTGCACTACAATTTCAATTCAGGTTGGTTTTTAATGGTTAAATTCCATTCCATCGCAAGTTTATTTTAAGTATATTTTAAATGAAATAACGATTTTTAAGTACTACTTCGGATTTCTGTTTTAGAAGAAGGTGACAATAAGAAAAAATAGAAATATTAAAAACCGATAAAAAGTAATAATAAAAATACATACTGACAAATATTCACCTGTATAGAGACTATTATTTAAAGACTATTGTCTATAAATCTGAATTACGAAAAATCTTATAGAAAGTTTAAATTACAAGTACCATAGCATTGCACCATTTCTTTTAGTCTAAAATGAGAATTTTGTTTTTGATAAATAAATGAAGTAACAGACGGGTGTAACAGTTATTGTATATTTTACGTCAATATTACTTACAATTCAAGACTTGATGCCAAATTACGATTTCCATTGGATAGTTTCATTTCCTTAGGACTACTAAAAAGATATCCATCATTAAACGTATATTCAGAATCCAACTGAGAGACGCTTGCTTCTTTAAATTTAACTTCTTCTAAAGTAGCGTTTTGATTATTTATGTCCTCTACGATAATTCTATGTATTAGCATGTCGTTGCCTTTATTTTGATCACCAAACTCGTCTTCTGCCTCTGTAAGGTCAAAGGTGCTGGCATATTTTAGATCAGTAAACGATAAATCACTAGAAACTGTCGACAACGATTCAACGGACTTAGATTTTTCTAATCTTCTTTGTATTTCACTGTATTTATTTTGTATTTTTTCGTGGAGTCGCGAGAAATGTTTTCCTTTCAAGGCATTATCTTTGGGATCCATGTTTTTTTACAATGCACTTTTTATGTACATATTAGTTTAAGACACTACACACATGTTTGTGACAGAAATGGAACTGACTGTGCATCATGTCAAGTGATTACCTGTTCATATTATCTTATCTTCAACATATTTATTGATTATTTTGACGAAGTCATTATCGCAATATTCTATTAAAAACATACATATAACGAAACGTATTTAATTTGCGAGGACTTCGGTTCATGGGTATGTATTTAAAATAAAGGTGACAGATTAAATTAAATTTGATGATTGATTATAATATTATAATCATTTCTAGCTCTCTGATTTAAATTCTAATCTAAATTAATTTAATTTAATTTAATCATTAATTAATTAATCTTAAGGTGATATCTTGTGTTTATGTTGTCTTTTTCTTGTACTAAGATTTAGCTACCTTTATTATTATAAATAATGAAGAAGTATATTTAATATTATATGATAATTCTGGGGTTTGATTGTCACAGCATATAATTACTGCTGCTATAAAAACTATCAAAAGTATGATATGATAAAATAATTACTTCTTAAATTAATAGCTTTTATATGATGTTATAATTAATGTACTTATAGAAAACTTAACTAAAACTTGAGGAATGTATTAATTACAGTCCTCTGCGTCCTATTTTGCTGTTATATATTACTGTCGCTAATGAGCTTGTTTTGTAACATATATTTCAGTTGAATGGTGATATACTATAGTGACATTGCAGGGTATGTAACATCTTAAAGAAAAGCAACTCATGAGGGTTTTTTTTAATAGTTGATAATAGATTGGTGCACCAGTCTGCGATGATTGCGATGGTGGTGCACCGGTTGTCCATTGTGACACATTCAGCATGTAATGACTGCATTAAATGGTTTTCAGGAGGAACCCCGTGGGGGTCTACTTGCTAGCAATGTGGTTACAGTCCAAATTATTAACAAACTCCTTCCTCCCTGATCCTCGTTTCCGAATGAGGGGTACAACAGTTATCACATAATGTCCTAGGTGCTGTTCATATATCGGTGAAGGATATCCTACCACTTACAATCAAAGTGGTCCTCACCTTCGCTGCTGCTTTTAACCTTAGTTTATAAAGGAATATGTATTACTACACCATGAATTATCGCCACGGCTTCGCACGGGTATACATGCAAGTATTCTACCTAAAAACCTTTTTGAAGCACGCTATCTAGTGTTAAAAACTATATTCAAATCCGTTGCGGAGTTTAAAAGATCTAAGCGAACAGACAGCGGAAGCGATTTCATTTTATAACTATAAAGATAAATTGAAGGGAAAGAAATATTAGTGATCGTTAGAATGTTTCACTTGTACTATACTAATATTAACATTACGTTCAATGTGCTACCTTATCTTGATAAAGGAGATATCATTGACAGGTAGTTATCCACTCAGTAGTTTTAATGATCAGTTTAAACTGTCATAAATATAATAAATGTTATATAATTTATAGACTTCTATTATCTGATTAGGTTGTATAATATCGTTTGTAATACAACAGTATTTGACTACAAGTAAAATTCAATGGCAAATGTATTAACTATAAATTTATTACTATACTAGCCGACTCCGCGACTTTCTACCTGTATAACTTTTTGTTTCTTAACCGATTGATAAAAAACTTAATTTTTAAGTGAAGCCTGAAAAATCCATCATAAATGGTTAAGTCACTTTTGAACTAAGCGCGCAAAAACGCATAAATAGAATAGTCTTTTAATCATTATTATGGGTTCTAATATATTGATAAAGTCTCCAATATAGTTTTTCTTATTTACAGGCAGCGACCATTTTAATTGTATGTATAGAAAACTTTATTATTCTATAGTACTATCTTAATCTACCAAATTTTTCTGTACGTTTATTTGACATCTAATTTGAACTGATGGATTGATTTGGATAAAGTGTTGTGTGTATACTTTAATGGGTTCCTGATGGATGACTTAAAATCATAGTTCAATCTGTTTGGTAACGCTGCTTTTCCGCGAAGTACGACCACTGTTCGGATTGTTAGAAGTAAATAAATTAAAGAATTCAGCACTTTAATGTGTTAAGTAAGTTTTAGAGAGCCTGGTTCCAAACGTAGCGTCATTTCATTGCCATTGTTGGAATTTCGGAAATTGTGTGGGTTGATTATTATATTACTATTTCGACTCATACCCGGAGACGGAGCTACCTTTGTGATAATCAAAATTAATGTACTAATGTCTGATAAATGTCCAACAAACAAACAAGTATACACGCATTTATTTTGTCGATAAAAATGAGTAGATATAGATAATATTATCGTCTGTCTACAAAAATATATTGAAAAACAGTTACCGAAATAGATTTTATTGTTGTATAGACAACAGACCTATATGTCAATATAGTGTCTTATTCGATTAATATGAATAAAAATATATTGATGACAAAGATAAAAAAAGTTATTAGTTATATAGTTATTTTTAAACTTTTATGTTTAATATACATTATTGATATTATTAACACGAATAATTTTATGGCAAATAAAGGTATTTACTTATCTTGATATATCCACTCGTGACCACGGCTAGTGCAACCTAGTCGAAATGTCGAGAAAGATAAATATCTTTATTTACTATAAAATTATTTATGTTAAGACCCGCTTAATAAAATAAATAACAAAAGTATTTCGGTATACAGTTCTTTATTTTTGACATGCCTATCTCAGTAAAATAAACTTATGACCCTATTAAAACTGATTGGACATTTTACAGTATCTAACTAATTTGGAAAGTTTTCTACTAATGCATATTGTAAATTCGAAAATATAACTCTCTATCTGTTATTTTTTCAGAACTAAACGGATGAACGAAATTTAATCAAATTTGACATGAAGCTAGATTGTTTAATTCAAGAAAGGTAGATAGAATTGCGGAAACTTGTTATTTATTTCTAATGATATATCAATATAGTAATATTTCTACGTCAGTGTAAATTCCACCCTTATCCTTCAATGTCCAAAAAGCCATGTAACAAGGCCAACGAAAGGACTTAATTAATTTAAGGCATATTTTCCCCTCGTTGTACTGTAATCGACTCACTGCTCAAGAGGTTTGTGGCGAGTTCCAAGTGTTATTTTCAATGTTCTAGAGATGGCCGCATATGGGATAACTTATCGATAATTTCAATATTGTTTTAGTAAGAAGTGCGGAATTTTATTATCGTGAACCAGTGGTAATGTACCTTGTTAACTCGCCAATTATCGTAGTCTGCTCTGGAAACCATCGTGGTTAATTCCTGTTTTAAGTTAATTTCCTATTGTATTATCTTTCATAGGTGCCTAGGGTTTGTTTATAGATATCGGGGGCTGTAATACAACTCCAAATATTCAACCATTAAAAATAAAAAAAAATACATAAAGATTAACAGAGAATTCTATCATGTTCTATTTAAAAGAAAAGAAATGTGCTATCTTAATAACATGCATAGAATACAGAGTAATGAACCATATTGTATTGTAGTATTGAGTACCTAAACTAATGAAATTTTTTTTTTAATACATTATCTGATAATAAAGATGTATCTTAGAATTTCCTGTACAATTTCGTTATCTATTTCTGTCTATATCTACTTAACATACGTTTCAGCCTGGTAACAATATTTGGTAGTTCCGGTAACTTTCATAATAAATACCTAAACAATGATATCAACCCAAGCCATTGACACAAATTCTACCACCAGCAATATGTTTCAACCATATCTTATCATGCAATTTCGATAAACGTACTGCGAATTAAGTAACTTGATCCATCACTAGTCTATATATAGGTAGATAAAGTGATCCTCGTCAAGAAGTTTAAGGGCATCTCGGGATCGGTCATTTTCGTACAACTGTCGACAGACCCTACCCGACGACCCTTCGTAAAGGATTTGCTTTGAAAATATCGATGTGATAATTTATAGTTACATGGGTAACCTTCACAAAACTTACTTGGCTTCTTCTATTCGTATTTATTTACCAAGTTTAAAGTAAATTTAATACTAAATATTACGGTTCCATGTATTATTTATTACAGACTACTGTTTGTATTACTGTCTGTAAGTTGATGAAGATTCTTTCCGTAAATATATTTTGTTACCGTGTTTAAATTACTAAAATTAGAGGAAATTCGCCACTAAATAATTTAGTTAAGAATTAAAATTTTAATTCAATACGATATAAACTAAGTAAATTTGTAAAAAGTTGTTTGCATCCGTACTTAATACAGTCTCTTATTTAGCCGCCAAGTAACATTCTTTGTAAGATGTGTTTCGGTTGACGGGTCCTTAGATCATTATTTAAACCATCAACCAAAGCACATACTTCTTATCCTAAAGCTCATAGCCTTCAGTAAAATTACAGGATAAGAGTCTTGTGCTTGTGCCCCCGTCACCACTCAGGCATCGTCATTCCTAAGGACAAAGATTTTCCTCGGGAAAGGCGACGCATGAGTATGCTTAAATCTTTAAAACCTTGCAACGAATTTTGAAGCGGTTTTTTAAATAGATAGAGTGATTCTAGAGGAAGGTTTATATATATATAATAATACATGTACACCCATGCGAAGCCGGGGGGTAGCTAGTAAAGTATATTTATGACGTATACCATTATTCAAATTCCAAAAAAAAAATAACCAATTTGTTTTGTCATAAAACTTCATAGATAAATGTATGACTTACAATGTAATCGACAGTTTAAATGTCCTTTTCAAAATTTAAAGGGGTTGTATAAAAATACCAATTTCTGTGTATTCAATCAAATAGGATTAGATTGGTAATTCATTGTTAAAAGCAATGATTTAGGATAGATACTTACGGTCCCGTTCAAGGTGCCTTTTTAAATAGGCTTTTTGTTGAAAATGTTAAAGGACTTTTTTGTGAATTGTGTTTCAATTTAACACATCATTGAAATTGTATTTACCCACGCATGAGTGTAGGCTCGGTCGTAGGTGCCTGGGCATGCCTATTTGCCTAGTCTTTTACAAGCTGACACAAACTATTA